ATATTTTTATCTATTTTTGTGAGAGAGAGAGAGAGAGAAAGAGAGAGCGAACTTGCCCATGCATGTGGCACATGACATGTGGGGAGGGACAGAGAGAGAAGCTGGCTTCCCGCTGAGTAAGGAGCCCGATGCAGACCCAATCCCAGGACCCTGGGATCATGATCTGAGCTGAAGGCACACACTTAACCGCTTGAGCTACCCACCCGCCCAAGATTCATCCCAATTGTTAACATATGACAGGATTTCCTTTTTAAGGCTCCATAGTGTTGTTATACATATATATCACATCTTGTTTATCCATTTGTCTGCTGATGAACACTTGGGGTACTTCCACTTCTTTGCTATTGTGACTAATGATGCTATGAATATGGCCATGCAAATATCCCTTTGAGACTCTGCTTTCAATTCTTTTGGATATACATTCAGAAATGGGAATGCTGGGTCATACAGTAATCCTTTTTTATCCCACCAACTATAGATTGCTTTTAGAGGTTCAACTGTCATGTGTATAATAAGATATTGTCTTAAACACAACAGAGAAGCGAACAGAAACAAAACTCAGACCATTGTGCTTCAGATATATCAGTGAGGAGAGTTTTAATTGAAAACTGTTAACAAAACACTGATCATACATTCATTGTGTGTTTTTAAAAATGGAGATGTATAACTTACAAATCTTATTTTTAGACACTTTCAGTGTGATTAGGCCTGTGTTTTGATTTGCATCTGTATTTGTTTAGAAAGATCTGGCTATAGAGGCACCTGGCTGGCTTAGTTGGAAGAGCATGCAACTCTTGATCTCAGGGTCATGTGTTTGAACCCCACATTGGGTGTAGAAATTACTTAAAAATAAATAAATAAACTTAAAAAAAAAAGACCTGGCTATAATATTTTTTAGCTACTTTATAGTTTTTAAAAAAGATTTTATTTATTTACTTGAGAGAGAGAGAGTGAGCACGAGCAGGGGCAGGGGCACAGGGAGAAGCAGACTCCCTGCCTGGGGGACCCCGATGTGGGGCTCGATCCCAGGACTCTGGGATCATGACCGGAGCCAAAGGCAGACCCTTTACTGACTGAGCCACCCAGGCATCCCAATTTTAGACTATTTTAATAGCCCTTCTTCTTTAATTAATTCTTTAATAGCATTTCTTAAATTTTGAATGAAATATTTGAAATATTTCAAATCTATAGAAAATAATGTAACAAATATCTACTTACACCCAACTCAAATAAAACCATATTTTATTGTGTATTTCGTTAGCTCTGTCCCCAAGAGTAGTGCAGTAGGTCAGGAAAACAAACAAACAAACAAACAGTAAACATTTCCACTTCTATTGACTGTGACAGCAAGTAAAGATTCATGAAATCAGAGAACAGAAACTAGTAAGTAAAATGAATTCATACATGGCTACGTAAACTCTTCCTGTAGTTTGAGAGAAATCATGGTCTCTGAAGTCACACAAACCTGGGTTCAAGTTCTTGGTTTGCTTCTTGCCAGTTGTGTGGTCTTGAGCAAGTTCCTTAACCTATCTTCTTTTTTTTTTTTTTAAAGATTTTGTTTATTTATTTAAAAGAGAAAGCGCACAAGAGCAGGGGTGGGGGAGGGGCAGAGGGAGAGGAAGTAGCAGACTCCCCACTGAGCAAGGAGCCTGACCTGAGCCTGATCCCAGGACCCCGGGATCATGACCCAAGCCAAAGGCAGACTCCCCAAACGACTGAGCCACCCTAGGCGCCCCTCAACCTCTCTTTGCCTCAGTTTTCTCATCTGTAAGATGGAGATAATCATAACACTTCCCAAGTTTGTTGGGATGATTGAAAAATAAATATGAACACATATATTTACTATGTACAGTAAGTGACAGTGCAAAGCGTCAATAAATATTGGTAATTATTTATTTTACTTATTGAGCACCTACTATACGCCAATCACTCTTCTAGTACTGAAAATTCAACAAGGGAGATAAAGACCCCTATAAGGGTGCCTGGGTGGCTTAGTTGTTGGGGGGGTCTGACTTTAGCTTGGTTCATGATCCCAGAGTCGTGGGATCAAGTCCCACATCAGGCTGGCTGCTCTGTGGGAAGCCTGTTTTCCTCCCCTCTGCCTGCCGCTCCCCCTGCTTGTGCGCGCACTCTGTCAAATGAATAAGTAAAATCTTTAAAAAAGAAAAGATCCCTGTGGCGCTTTCTTTCTAGTGATAGACATTAAACAAGGTAATTTCAGATACTAATAGGGACTCTGAGGAAAAGGTATGGGAAGGGGATGCAGGAACTACTTTAGACAGCAGACAAGAGATCACGGAAGGCCCGTGGGAAGTCTTCAGGGGTGAATTTAACTGAGTAGCAGAAAGAATTAGTCATTGGAAGGTTTGGAGAAAAGCAGGAACAGTATGTGCTTAGGCTCTGAGGTAAGAAAGCTTGGTTTGTACAGGAAGAAAGGAAAGGATGGCTGGAACTGTATGTAAGGGGAAGGGAGGCTAGGCATGACATCTGAGAGTTAGGGAGAACAGGTCAAGAAGTGCCTTGTGGACCATAGATTAGAGCTTAGATTTTATTCTTTTTTTTTTTTTTTTTTAGATTTTATTCTTAAGGGACTGTGATGATATTGGAGGGTTTTTACTGTTAGCAGGTACAACATTCTTTGCTCTCGGGAGGAATTTGTATATGCTTTTCTCTGGCCCTGTTTTAGAATTCCGTACATGCATATGGTTTAGGAAAAACTGTTCTGGGAGATAGCACTTTGGTTACTCATGGGCTCCCCCCAGTGGAACTGGTGGCTCAGCTTGCATGGTTTCACATGAGCGAAAGCAAAGTAAATGGGCAATTTATCTTTTCAGTCAACAAACAGTTATTGGGCACCTACAAAGTGCTTGGCTCTGTTTCGGTGCCGAAATACATCTGTGAACAAAACACAAACACCAGTGCCCTCCTGGAGCTTACATTTTGGGTGTGTATATGTGGGAGAAAGACATTTAACCAAACTGAGCAGCAAATTGTTGGATAGGATAATGTTATTTGAGAAAAAATAAGTGAGGAATTGGGCTAGGAGGTGCAGGGAGGGTGGTGGTGCCTCAGTTTTAAATACAGTGGCAGGGAAGTTCTCATGAAGAGGGTAACATGTGAACAAAAATGTAAGGAGGTGACAGGGTGAATGATCAGTTATCTGGGGGAAGAGCATTCCAGGCAGAGAGATCAGCAAGCAGAAGGGCCTGAGTTTATGTGCAGGTTTGAGGAACAGCAGGGAGGCCAATATGCCTTGAGATGGGGGGGGGGGACAATGGGGAGTAGATGAGGTTAGTAGTACTTTGGGGGAGTAGGGAGGTGTCCCATGTTGAGGGGTTTCTAGACCAGTTTAAAGACTTTTTTTTTTTTTCCTCACTTGAAAATAGTAGTCCAGGGGCGTCTGAGTGGCTCAGTCCATTAAGTAACTGCCTTCGGCTTGGGTCATGATCTCAGGGTCCTGGGATCAAGTCCTGCGCTGGGCTCAGTGGGGAGTCAGCTTCTCCTTCTCCCTCTGCCCTCTGCTTGTGTTCTCTCCGTTGCTCTTTCTATCTCAAAAAAATAAATAAGATCTTAAAAAAAGAAAAAAGGAGTCCATTGGAGAAGGGACATGGTCTGCTTAAAGTTTTTTTTTTTTAAGATTTTTATTTATTTATTTGACAGAGATCACAAGTAGGCAGAGAGGCAGGCAGAGAGAGAGGAAGGGAAGCAGGCTCCCTGCGGAGCAGAGAGCCTGATGTGGGGCTCGATCCCACGACCCTGGATCCTGACTGCACGGAAAGCAGAGGCTTTAACCCACTGAGTCACCCAGGCCCCCCTCTGCTTAAAGTTTTAACAGAAGCTTGCTGCCGGGTTAATAGATCAGGGAAAAGTAGGGTTTAAAAAAAGAGCAGTCACACATTGTGGCTTTTACCAAGAGAGGCAGTGAATGGTCAGATTCTGAACAAATTTTGATGGCAGGTTCTGAAGATCTCTCTGATGAATTCGATGTGGGGGTGCAAGAGAGGAGTCAAGGATCTTAGTAAATGACATTACTTAATAAATTGTTGTCATAGGAGGAGGTGATCAAAGAATATACAGCCAAAAACTTAGAAAAAAAAGTAATTTAGAGGTGCCTGGCTGGCTCAGTCGGTTGAGCATCCAACTCCTGATCTTAGCTCAGTTTTTTGATTTCAATGTGGAGAGTTCAAGCCCCACACTGGGCTCTACACCGGGAGTGGAGCCTAATTAAAAAAAAAGAAAAAGAAAAAAGTATTTTAGAGGTGTATCAAGCAGTTTAAAAATAGTGGGTAATTTTTCTGAATTTTGTGGTATTTGTTAAGTTTTTAAAATTTGTAATTTGTGATTTCTTTTCTCACCCCAAAGATTCATTTTTATACCTCATATTGTATTTGTAATTTTGGATTTTTTTTTTTTAAACAGGGCCCTCAAATTGAATAAATCTCAAGCCCCTGCAATACCTGAATTCAGTCTGGCTCCTTGCCCATATTTGGGCAGTAATTTAAAGTTAGCGAAGCATTAATACTGTTTCTGACATAAAATAATGGGCACGAAATAGAAGTCATTGTAAGATTAATACAATTTTAGAAATAAGCTAATATTGGGGATTGAAACACCACCCTGGACTCGCCTCCCTACCAGTGTCTTCCAGAATTTCTTACCCATTCTTCCTCCCACAGTTTTTCTAAATCTGTCACATACATCGGCATTTCTGCTCACGATCGCTTTGGGGAGGCAGGCATTACACGAGTCTAAAAAAAAAAACCGTCTAAAAATATGAATGCTAAAATATTCTTTATCCCGCCTGCTTGTGCTTCAGCTGCGCCACAACACCACCGCCCGCTGGCAACCAAGGACCACCTCTCCGCACTACCCACTTCCAGGCTCCCCTCGAGCCGTAACCAGGGGCGGGGCTCTCGGGAGGGTGGAGTGGGCGGGGTCTAGATCCCTCCTCGCCCCGCCCCGTGAGGCCTGACACATGCGCCCAGAGGCTTCTGGTGGAACGAGGTGTGGATTGTGCGGTGACCCTGGCCTCTGACTTCCGGTTCCTAGGGATGCGCATCCGGGTCACGCTAACGCCGCGGTTTCCTCCATCCGCTTGGTTCTGCTGTGAGTCTGGACCAGTACCCATGTCCTGCTTTGGGGCCTCTGCAGCCTTAGAGTGAGTCTCCGCCGAGACAGGGTCTGAATGTGGCCGGTCGAATGCAGCCTGTAGGGGGACGGGTCAGAAGTTCTGTCTTGGTCCCTGTGGGTGGGGGTTCCCTTTGCCTGTCCCTTGTCCCTGCAATGCTTCCCTCACTTCAGCCTTTTCCCTCGCCGGCCTCGCCTCATTCACCTCGCCTTAGCCTTGCCGGTCCCCGCGCACCTCTCGCCTGGCTGTTTCCCCATCTTCATCCGCCGGTTACAAGCCCGGGTTTCTTGCCCTTTGCCTCAGCGCTTCCCTCAGCACTGCCTCTCGCTTTCGCCCGGCTCTCCTGTTAGCACCTCCCTGGTATCTACCGTTCTTTCCCGAAGCAGGACGGCCCACCTGCTCATTGTGCTTCCCCTCCTCCCCTGCGAAACCGAGCCTATCTTTCTGGGGTCCTAGGTCCCGTCCCCCTACTTCCATCACCTTCGACCCCTATGTCTTCCTGGGACTAGTAGGTGACATTTGTGCTTCGCCTGGGGTTCTCCCGCCTTTTCTTAGCTAGAGGAGGGCTTAGCGAAAGTCCCAGTCTGGGCCGATTTATCCATCCTGGAGGAAGTTTTGCTTTGAGGCGTTGTGTTAGAGTCAACTCTGGTAGTTCTGTAGTTAGGGAACAACAAAGGCTTACCCAGTTCTTTCCTGGAGCACAGTTCGGGGGGCTCTCTCTGGAGAGGACTAACAGGTGGCAGGCACACGAAACTGCTAGAGATGGGGCTTGTGTGGTCTTGTTAACTGACAGGCCATGAGGACGTCCTGTCATTTTTGTGTTCTCTCTCCCGTGAGAATGGATGTGCACGGCTGAGGTAAAAGTGCAGATGTTCTTGGCACGATCACCTTTGTTTTCTGCATAGGCTTTACTTACAGGACAGTTGCTATGACAGAGGACAGAGTTTCTTGGGAGATTTTTAGCCCCAGATTTGTAAGCTTTTTGCCAAAAATTTTAGTATCACTGAAATTTTGTTTCCTGCTAAAGAATGCACAGTTAGTAATTTCAAAAGTACATTTTCTTTGCTTGAACTCAGTGTGCATATGTATCTTTATCCTTAAGTCTCATGAATTGTTTCTTTGTTTCTCCTGTATTGACAAGTTTTCTATTTTTCTTCCCATTTCTTCATAAGCCAGGCATTATACTACATTATTACTTCGACTATTATTATTTTACTTTTCTTTATTGTTTTCACTTTACTCTTTTTTTTTTTTTTAAGATTTATTTATTTGAGAGGTGGGGGGAGCAGAAGTAGGAAGGGCAGGGGGGAGGAGAGAATCTCAAGCAGACTCCCTGCTGAGATTGGAGTCTGCTTAGGATGCATTTCATGACTGAGATCAGACCTGAGCCAAACCAGGAGACACTTAACTGACTAGTCTTAAAACCATCTTTTTCTCATTTGAGACTTAGGTTTCTCTTAAATTTCTTAAATTTCTGTGATGGCTCTTAGTCACCTCTAAGATGAAGAGATTGGATTTCATAGTGATTTGTGTCCCATTTCTCAAATTTTGTGATCTGAGGTGTATTTTGAGACACAGGTTTGGATAATTTTTATTTTTTTTTTGTGATGTTTTTAGTGGTGTCTAGCATTTGATTGCAAATGTTTTTCTGTGAGCAGCTTCTGAAATATAAATTGTGCTCTGAAATTTAGTACTTAAGTGAACAGAATAAATATAGCTTTTAGTGTCTGCTTCACTTTTGACTGATGAGTTATAGAAAAGTTTCTCTCATTATATGATACATATACATATGCAAGCATAGCATAGACCTTGGCTCATTCCAGAATTGAGCTGCTCCCTTCAGCTATTTTTAGCAAAGGACTTTGGAGCGTGGCCATATTCGTCCTGGAAGCCACAGAGAAGGACCCTTCTGGTTGGCTTTCAGGCCTTACCTAACTGCTGAGGGAAGACCTTTTGAAAGCTCCTTACCCATACCTCTTCCCCAGCACCTATACTGGAAACTCTAGCTTCTGTTCATCCTGGCCTCATCATTTTGCATCCTTAAAAACTAATCCCAGTGAGAGTGAGTATGGGCTGGCTCTCTGTTTTCTCACCTCCAGGTTTGTAGACTTTTTTTTTAGCCAGGGGAATTCCATAGATAGACTTATATTTGGATTGATGCAAGGCCCTTTTTCAACCTTTTTCATTTCTGAACTTTTTATTTCTTGGGATGTCTAAGTCTAAACCTAGATGGATTTCTCAGTTTACAACTGGAGGGAACCATAGAGCTCAAACTTACCCCTTCATTTTACAAATAAGGAAATCAAGATTTTAAGAATTGGTGATTTTCCAAGGTCAGTTTTTACAAATAAAGAAGTTTTGTGCATGCACTCAGAAGTGGGTTTTAGTTCCCTCAAAGTTGTAGGTCAGAGGGCACAACATAGTATTTAGTGGTTCATTTCAATACATTTGTGTCACAGGAATGAGTTTTAGGATAAGAAATTTGTGACATAAAATTGAAGGCTGAAGTCATTTCGCCTTCAAAGATGGACTCTAGAAAGAAGTTGTGTTGTGCAGACGTAGAAGTTGAGAAGTCTTAGGGATTCTCTCTCTTTCTTCCAAAATCACTTTAGCTTATTATGATATAAATGCTGCGTAAAAGCCTTTACATGGAATGAACATCCTATGGTCTTGTTGGAGCAATTGTGTTCATGCTCCTGGTCTTCCTACCCAATACTAACAGACCTTCTAGTTACTGAAAAGCCTGCATGTCTTATCTAACTTCCAAACAAACAAACAAACAAACGAAAATATCACTAGAGATAGCTCAGTGTATGTTTGTAATGCTCAGGAGAGGAATTGTTGTCAGTTTTCTATAAAAATTTCTCTTTTAGTTTAGCAGTCTTAGCTTGTACGCCTGAGGGCTCAATTTAAAATAAATTTCTGCATATTAGCTTATGCCTACAAGGTTTTCTCTTTTTATTTGGCTTACTTATTTTTGAATGTTGTTCTTTATTTATTTTTTTTTTTCATTTTACTTGCTACTGTGCTTTTCTTACATGGTTAATTTTTATTCTTTTTTTTTTTTTTTAAAGATTTTATTTATTGATTTGACAGAGAGAGATCACAAGTAGACAGAGAGGCAGGCAGAGAGAGAGAGAGAGAGGGAAGCAGGCTCCCTGCTGAGCAGAGAGCCCGATGCGGGACTCGATCCCAGGACCCTGAGATCATGACCTGAGCCGAAGGCAGCGGCTTAACCCACTGAGCCACCCAGGCGCCCGTTAATTTTTATTCTTGAACCCTGGGATATATTTTAAGGAAATGTAGTTTTAAAAATTTGAGAAACAAAAGTACCCCTCTTCCATGTTCTTACCAGTTGTACCTTGCAGCGTGATGGTTTCCGTGATCTGCTTGAGCCACTTCATAACTTCATTCTTTTTGTTTTGCTTTCAGATAAAAAGCTGATAGAACTTTTTTGGTAGTTTGTCTAAAAGACTTCGTGTTCTGTATATAGCAGCAGGGTATTTTAACTGAAATGTATTTTAAATGGAGGAAGAATAGTTCAAAATAGTTAACATAGACTAGTTTAATAATAGAAATAATTCAAAGTATATTTAAGAATATTAGGAATAGTTTATTCTCCTTATACATTCATTTTTATCAAGGAGTTAATTTGGAATAAAGTTGAAAATAGTGGACTTTCCATCTGCTAATTAACTTAAAAATGCAGGTGCATGTTCTTATACAGAATATATGGCTTAAGCTGTGAATATGTTTTATTGACAGAGAACATAGTGAATAATGGAATGGCAACCACATCATCATCTCAATATTTTTATTTGGTCCCATCAACCTAAATTTTAGGGTATCTAATTATTAAATGTAAAAATAATGAGAGTATTTTCTTTGTTATTTATAGTATATTTAAAAAGTTATTGGAAATATGGGCTTCATAAAATTTATCTTTACTATTTTCTCCTTTTAAATATGTAGTAGTGTTTTGCTTTTTCTTTTTAAAGTAATCTCTGCACCCAACATAGGGCTGGAACTCACGACCCCGAGATCAAGAGTCATATACTCTACCAACTAAGCCAGCCAGGCATCCCTTTATTAGTATTTTAAATTAGAAAAGGAAAAGTGTAAATAGTGCTAGCCTTTCAACACCCATTGAAATAATAAAATTAGATTAAAAACTCTTAACAGAGTAGGAATAGTGGGAACATACTTCAACATAATAAAGACCATATATGACAAACGCATCACAAACATAGTCAACAGTGAAATAGTGAAAGCCTTTTTTTTCTAAAATCAGGAACAACGCAAGTATGCCCACTCTCACTGTATTTATTCAACATAGTATTGGAAGTCCTAGCCACAGCAGTTAGGCAGAAAAAGAAAAAAGAAATGTATCCTAATTGCTAAGAATAAGTTAAACTGTTACTATTTGCAGGTGACCTAATTCTGCATGTAGAAAACTTAAAGTTTCCATAGACAACTATTAGAATTAATGAATTAAGTAAATTTGCAAAATAAAATACCAGTATACAAAAATCTGCTGCATTTCTCACAATAATGATGAACTATTAGAAAGAGAAAACAGGGGCACCTGGGTGGCTCTGTTGTTAAGCGCCTGCCTTCAGCCAGATGGTGATCCCAGGGTCCTGGGATTGAGCCCGGCATCAGGCTCCCTGCTTGGTGAGAAGCCTGCTTCTCTCTCTCCCACTACCCCCTGCTTGTGTTCCCTCTCTCGCTATATCTCTCCGTCAAATAAATAAATAAAATCTTTAAAAAAAGAGAGAGAGAGAGAGAGAAAAAACAATCCCATTTACAATGGCATCAAAAAGAATAAAATGGGGGGCGCCTGGGTGGCTCAGTGGGTTGAAGCCTCTGCCCTTGGCTTGGGTCATGAACCCGGGGTCCTGGGATCGAGCCCCGCGTCAGCCCCGTCTGGCTCTCTGTTCGGTGGGGAGTCTGCTTCCCCCACCCCTCTCTCCCTGCTTGCCTCTCTGCCTACTTGTGATCTCTGTCAAATAAATAAATAAAATCTTAAA